ATTATGTTTTTAGGATGTCCTGCTCAACTCTAAGAACATAATGCCAGGGAACGCACCTAATGCCAAAGGACGTGTGGCAAGTTCATACCTCGGTTCACAACCCCTGCACGACTTGGAAGTGTGCTGGTCGGTGATACTAGTTGGCATGCTAAGCCTGCCGTTGTTGAGCGGCATGTAGGGCGGCTTTTGGGGCCTTTTCGAGACAGCGTGGAGGGTGTCAGCGAGTTTGTCGACTGGGCAAGGGTGTTGTTTCATTTTGAGTGGAAGGCCGTAGTCGTCCGGCATTCGTGGACGGCAGCCATACACAAGGTAGAAGGGCATGTAGCCCGTGGCTTCACATTTGCTGTTGTGATTTGATGGCGAGAATTCCGCCATCCGCTGTGTGTGTGTGTGTAGGTGTTCGGCCCCAGTGTTCGGCCCCCAGCAAGTCGGTGAGTTCCGGCCCCCTACATAATTGCGTAGAATCTCTTGCAGGACGTGATTCACTGTTCGCTCAGTTAGTCCATCCGTTTTTATAAGAACCAGCTACCCTTTTATAAAAAACACTTCCACTTACCCAGGTAGCAACCATGGTAGCAACTATAGTAGCCCAACAACTCTAACCTATTGCTACCAACTTCGTCTATGTTACCTCCAAATCTTGCTCCTTCTCTTTTACTGTTAATACTTTTTTCCTAAAGTGGTGAGGGTGGAACGACGTGGAGAGCTGCTGTTTTTTGAAGTGCAGTTGCTGGGCTGTGTTGCACATTGCTTACACAGTGAACCGCGGGTCACGATCTGACGGTAGGAAGTCAGTCGATACAGAGCCATGTTCGCAGGTGAGATATTTCATCACGCAAGATTTATGCGATCTGAAGGATCATAGTGATTTGGTCGTGCGTCGGCACGACGAACATGACGAATTTTGTCAACAAATGTCGACAAAGACGCAAACGGCCGTGTGGCCATCCTTGGCGGGTGACAGCGGCGACTTGATGATGAAACCGCAGGACACCAGCAGACTGTCAGACTCCAACAAGCAGCACAGCCGCAGACTAAGGTTTGACAAACAATCTCAACATAAATAAATAGCCTATCTTTTATTTGGACTTAGCGCAAAAGCCCACACATTAGCAACAAGACAAATACACAGACAGCAAACTATTTTTCCTACACCGCTTTCATGCATATGCACAACCTGCCGTGTTCACAATCAAGAGATTTTCTTAAATTGGTTTGGCAGCACAAGAAACCCTGAAAATACAGGATCAGCCGGAAAACAGAAAACGGTAAAACCCCCCTCTTTGTTATATATATATCGTTAAATTGTGAGATCGTGAAATGCACGTAATATAATTCTCCCACTTATTTAACAACAAGTCACCTTGTTCCTCACAAGTTCCGGTTCACATTGTGTCGATCGGCGCAAAGCGGACCCAGGACCCCAAACGCACGCTTAGTCCTTCGCTGCCACGTAAGCGCCGTGAAATCGGTACGGCACCTTAAACGGCAAGTCCACGTTCGCCAGCCCGCTCATATCCGCTGCGTCATACACACACAATACGCTTCTCCCGCCCGGCATGATCTTCGGGGCCAGCAGCACTCCGTCATCCTCGGTTGACCCGTCGGGTCGCGGCACAAAAATGGGCTGCCCTGCAAGTGGGGGGTTTCGTCGAGTGGCAGCTAATATCTCCCGCCGTTGCCGGAAAAACAGAAGTTCGTCAGAAAAACAGGAGGTGAACAGGTAAACGAAGGGTACATACAGTGGTTGGAAAAACAACATGGATGCGAATGGATGCGGCGGTACGAGGTAAGAAGCAACATATTCCCTGATGCTGATGCACCGCTTATGATTATGATAACCAGAACGCGTTCGTACGCGGTCAGCAGGCCCCCGGACTTCACACGGGAATCACATGCACGAAGGGAAGGACCAACTGCCGGCTCCCAAGTGGAGCTGGGGCTGGGGCTGGCAGGAAAGGGAAGGGAAAGAACGCGCGTTCTAGGAGGGCAGGAAAGAGCAGGGCCAGGATTTTAACCCAAGTAAAACCCTAAAACCCTAAAACCCACCTGGCATGCTTCCCGGTATGGAACACACAAAACTGCTCCCTTTTTCCAGGTCGTGACGAGCCAGCGCGTTGCCCATATTGGTCGGTCGTATGGCAGCGGTGCCGTACATGTACCTGTACGGCTTCCCCCGGAATCTGCAGAGTCAAAGGCAAAAAGGCAGCAAGAGGAATGAATGAATGAATGAATGAAGGGCGACAGACTCATGACTTGATGAACACCAAGGGGGACTCCACAGCCTACACAATAATACACCAAAAATATAACGCCGTCACATGTAATGCGCCTTATCACGTTAGTTTTTAAGCTGTCACATAAAACCGTTCACATAAAGTTACGGGCAGACAGGTCCATCTCCCCGTCCTTCCGCCTTCTACTCCTTCCATCTGTTTTCCTGCAACCCCCCAGACACCAGAATCAGTACGACACCTGTACAGGGACCCGCCGTACAGGTGTACAACTATCGTACAGAAATGACGTTGTGCAAATCCGCTACCTCACCCTTTCAAGACCTCACCGTGGGTTGATGGCCGGGAACTCGAAAAAATTGCCGTACGCGTTCTCGTCTGTAAGCAGCGGCACGGGAGCCGCCAATGACGATGGACCCACCGGTCGGTTGGCCGCATCCCGCAACGGAATGACCAGTCTCCTCAGCCGGCCGGGTGATATGTCTTCAATGTTTAAGTCATGCGGGATGGGTGGGGGGTTAGATGGCGCGGGCGAGGGGAGACGGCGAAACACACACACACATAAATGTAACGTGTGTACGAATGGTGCGTGTGTAACAAGGGTTTCATATTTGAAAGGCGTCGGATTGTGGGAATGATGTGGAACGGGAATGTGGGAGGGTTTTAGAAAAACTGCCCCCCTCCACACACACACACACACACACACACACACACACACACACACACACGAGAAGCGCCCATGTCAAGGTCTTAGAGAAATGTTGCACTTTTCTGCATAGAAGGGAAGTTGTCAAACACAGCAGGCACATCAATCTTAGTTAGGGTTTAACTGCCGGCGTCTTAAAAGCGCCAACTGCTGGAACGGGGTCGGATGGGCCTTATGAAGTCTCATCCAAGTGCTGCCGTACTACCGCCGCCACTACACACGGACCAGCAGCCCCCGCGCCCCGACCACCATCCAGCAGCCACCCATCCACCCATCCATGCATACATCTCACCTTTGCCCGGGAAGGCTTTAAGACGATCCAGGGACAGATCGTTAATGATCTCAGGGTCATCGTACACACTAAAATCCAGGCAAATTTCGGTTCCGGAGCTGGTTCCAGACGGGCGCTCGAAGGCGTTGCCGAGGTGGAAAGTGAAGAACGCGGGGGCCGTGTGGGTCACCACCTGAAGGCCACCAAGAAATCCACTTTTTTGAGCGAATTTTAGAGTGAATTAGGAAAATCTGAATCAAAAAGAGAATTAAAAATTGGATTCGATAAAAACATAAAGCAACAATATAATTGGACTTTAAAT